GATAAAATAACCTAAATCAGGGGCCAATTTCCACTGATAATTTTACCTTTTTCTACCGAGAAATAAAAAATTCCTCATTGGCCCACATCACATAAAAACACAAACAGTGAATTAAGGCATCCAGGAGTGAAAAAGCAGACCTAATAAAGTACAAATACATAAAGTGCTGAATGCTTGAGTTCAATTCATGTGATTCTAATGAGTTTAGCATGACTACAGCCGAAGAGTAAAATTATTTCTTAAACACAGATTTTGTGGCCATTGGGACTCTTTGTTTTTGACTCTGCTCAGTGCCCTCTCTCCATGTTTGTTCTGCAGGTCATGTGGTTTTGACTTTGTTGCAATATAGTATGACACATATTGAAAAAAACATTCCCAGGAAAGGCTGATAACCAAATAAAAAGAGTGGACACTCTACTCTACACTACTGGGAAAAAAATAAATAAACAAACTTGTTTTATGTATGAAAGAAAAATCCAAGGATGACTGATCCGGATATTTCTTTTCAAAATTCTTGGTAGAATAAATAAATAAACATATTTTCCTATCGCAGGCTTGCTACTCCACAAATCTGACTAGCACTTATTTTGGAGGGCATCTTTCTGCCCGTCTCCATGGCTACTAAGGGTGCCACTTTAAAGCATAAGTAGAAAGATGACTTATTATATAATAGAAATTTAGATTAAGATTTGTACATAAATGTAGCCTGAATTAGAATGTTTGTTGGGTATATTTTGAATCTCAAGCAACAATGTTTTTAAGGTTACGGCTGATTCATACTTATCCATTATGTAAACGTTACCCAATTCATATTTAATGAAGGAGTTTGGCCTGTTTCAAATCTCTCAAGTTGTCGAATGACCTTAAAAGACTTTGGCTCACAGCTTTTGTGGTGTAGCATTTTATTCCAATAATTGAAGCTTTCCGTCATGTTGTTTATTTCTAAAACAAGAGCGAATGCCAAAAGCAGATGATAGACTCCAACGTGCGCTATCTGTGTACTCAGCTCCACTCTCCCCTCCAATTCTCAAACACACAGAGAAACAGCCCATAACTCCATCAACATAAAACAATTCCATCATCGCGCCAAGATACCGCCAAAATAACTCGAAAGAAATGCCACACAAATACCTTTCACTCCTCCAGAAGACAACCTGTTTGCAGCACACAACGGAAATGAATGGTGTCTCAAAGAAAAAGCAAGTCATTATTTCCATCTCTGTGCTGGAACACATAAAGATAGAGTTGGAGCCGAGAAGAAAAGCCTTTTGGGAGGTTAAACAATGCAGGATGTCTTATGGAAACTCACAGAGATTGCAGTATAAAGAAGTCATTTAGTTCGGATTGAAAAAGCATTTGTGCAGAGTCAAAGTATAATGCATGCTCTGAAAGCTTTTGGTACGTAAACATTGGACTCGGTTATAAGGCCATTATTCATCTAAATTATGTATGAGTATCTTTGTTGGCAGTAATGAACAGGTGGCAACCTTGGTGAACAATTTAAAAAAAAAAAATACCAATTGACACAAAGTATTGATTAATATTTACATTAGATATGTTGGAATACCTAACCAATAATATCTGAGATGCACAACTTTTTCCTGACAACTCATGAAACTTGGTAAAACTTGGAAATTTAGAACATCCATCCATTGTCTTCCCCTTAATCCATGTCTGGGTCAGGGAGGTGGCAGTCAGAGATACTATCCAAGTCAAAGAGCACCAGCCCCTCACTGTCCACAGGAGGATGGCTTCTCTGTCAGTGACAACTCAGCCATTGCCTTTCAGCGGGGGCATCAGGCAAAGTGGGGTTAAGTGTCTTGCCCAAGGACACAACAACAGCAGACATCAGTGGGAGTCAGTGGGTCTTGTGGGGGGGATGAACCCACGACCTTCAGGCTCAAAGGCCAATACTCTACCAACTGAGCCACTGTCGCCTTTTAAATTAGAACATATAAAATACCTGTATATATATTTTTTCAAATATATGATATAGAATTGATACATACACGCCACATTTCATGTCGGTGTATCTTATAATTTTGCTGATTACTTTTCAAAATATTCTGCTCTTTATTATATTTTTGAGATGCTTCTTTTGTGTTTTTTTTTTTTTACTAGCTGTGAGACACAATGATCAACATTATAACAAAGCAAGTCTGGATAAATCACACTTTGGGAGTAATGAGTTTAGCATACACAAGTTTCATATTATAAGTTGTATATTGTACGACATAAACAATACCTATAAACATATAGGCCTATTGCTGCTGTTCCGGGTGCCATTGCCATTGTACTTCCAAAACTATAAAGACCACTATATATACAGTATGAATAGTGCCTTGAAGTACATTACAATCCATAGTTTACTGAAGCACAAACCGCTCTCTGACATCAAGGTGGCACAGAGAGAGCTTTCGCCTTGCTGTAAGAAGGTCTTAGCTTTGACTCCCTGGTGATGTGGGGGCTTTCGGCATGGAGTTTCATGTTATTCCAGTGTATGCGTAAGTAATAAAAAAAACATGCACAAAAAGGTGTGATTATGTTGAGTGAATAGATGATGATAGTAGGAAGGTCCGGTGGTGCCAGCTGGGCAGCAGCTTGTGGTGTGAATGGAAAATACACTAACCATGTGACCCCGGGTAGAGAAAAGCGCAATATATACAAGGATTTCTTTCATGTTTGTTCCAAGATGGTATTCATACAATATTAAGTACATTAAGTGCAGGGATTTGGCTGTTGCTGTGGGTTTGGCCTGGGAGGAGCTGTCCATGGTGCTGATCCTCTAGGCTCTTTGAAATTGACATTATTCTAACAGTGGGCCACAATCTACCACACCCTTGTCCAGACCTAACACCTCTATGGGACGTCCCACCATGTTCCACAAATTGCTTGTGTATCCATAGAAGCCTGAACGCTGTTTTGTTCCCCTCTCTTGCGAGCAAATCTTTGCACCAATGGAAATGCATTATAAAAACAGAACTCTTTGGTAAAGAACAAGGGAGTATAAGCTGTTTGTCTAAATGGTTCTGATTAGTTTAATATTCTTATTTGTATCTATCTTTATTTGACAAGGAGAGTTCTGCTGAGATTTTAGGATCTCATTTTCAGTACAACCCTGAGCCTGTGGACATGGGGAGAAAATGCATGCACACTCCACACAGAAAAGCCCTGCGCTCAAACCCAAAACCATGTTTAATCCAGGTGTATGACACTGTCTGCCAATATCATTACTGATACAAAGGTGAATCTGAATAAAGTACCTGAAATATTATTGTATAAGTAGTTTGTTGGATATTATTGTTTTTTTGTTCACATAATGTAAATATGTATTACAACAATAAATCAACTAGAGTAGAGTATTTAATAAAACAAAATCATAACTTTCATGTAAAAAATAAATAAAAAATGATTGTACTGTTCCTTAATTTATGCTGCAACTGCGAATAAATAAATCATACTGACTTCTACATGCCGTTTCTGAATACCATTGTTAATAACAGCGCCTCCCTCAGGTCAAAACCAGTCAATAATTCAATAGCAGCAGCAATTCTTCATTTTTACACGCGATGAAGGCTCACTCCACACTTTGAAATAGTGTATAGTTGTATTAGCGTGGTGTTTTTCTTTTCTTTTTTGCCACATTATTTTTTTTAAACTGCACAAGCTTTTTTTTTCTTTCCTCTCCCCTGACAGCTGGTAGATCCCCCACAGATTTGCTCCCACTGTATCCATGACTCGTGTCCGGGAGTTACAGTACAGCGCCTCTGCCCACCAGTGCGTGCAGATATAGTTCTAACGGGATGCTGTGAGGGCGAGAGAGAGAGAGTGTGGGCTCCTCCGGCTCTTGCTCCTTTCTGCGCGCTGGGCTATACTGCTTTTAACCCCGAGGCGCTTCATCACGAGTGCGCGCCCCATCTCCAAAGCACCCAGCCAGCCAGCCAGTCCACGCTCCCGTATACTCGTTGTTTATTCGTCAGAGGCCCGAATGAGTGAGTGGGGATCGATGCGTGAGCTGTTGGAACAAGGAATCAGCCCAGCGCCCATTACGCGAGAAAATTGCGTGGACAGTTAAAGGGGTATTAATAGACGCTAAGATACATGGGCTTATGAGTCGTCCCCATAAAAGTAACAATCACAATATTTTCATTGCTCAGTAAATATCTCACTCCACACACTAACGTAACAGAATTAATACATCTATTTGTAATGTTCCATAAAGTAGTTTTGTGACTCAATCAATCAGAGTGTTTTTGTATAGCACACTTTGTAAACAAGGGCATTCAAAAGATAATACAAATGTAAAAGTTAACGCAATGTATTGAGAAAACTTAAGTGTAAAATTGTTGAGGATAGAGGTAGGGAATCTATAGGTAAATTAGCCCAACTGAGGTGCTGCACCTGTTTCAGCGTGTGTGCCAGACCCCGTGGATTTGCCATTACGCACAGTTTTACGCACAGCCACTCCATGACTCCAGAGACGCTTTATACGTGTTTATAAATAACCCTTTTGAATGCACTATTTCTGCATGAATCATAGCCATCAAACTACTTAACGTTGAACATGTTGGACATCGGAGGTTTCCAAGTTGCCATTTGAGTTAAGTGCCTTGCTCAATGACGAAAGGTTGTTCCAAAGAACGAGAAAACCCCACCCACGCTGCCCAGACCTCCCGGGGGGGAATCGGTCCATTGACTTCCACATTACTACGAGTACATTCTGTGGCTTTTTGTCTGTACGGAGGACCTGTTTTGTCTGTCCCGTAACTTGAATCCGTCTGAATTGTCGGTCGCTGGCTCCTACTCCTCGCTGTGCTTACTACGGCAGCAGCAGCAGTACAAGCAGCAGCAGCAGTGGCAGCGCTGGCGGCTCGCTGGCTGCTTCTTCATGTTGTGGTCGGGTATACGCATGCGCCCGGCATTGGAATTACTGCACTGGCAAGAGTAAGTTGGACCTCGCGTGTCTTCCGTAAAAAGAAATAAGACAGTAAAAGCCAAGAATGGCGCTTCTGAGACTACGGAGGATGAGGTGTTTTGTCGTCTGGTCCTTCGCTTTCGTTGTAGCCGCCGTGTGCGCGCAAAGGTAAGTGGATGACTGCTCGTAAGAAGCTCCATTCGTGGAAACCTTCTTATTATAGATCCAGCGGGGTAATTAACTCAACAAGAACTGTCAGATTTAACTCTATTGTCTTGTCCCTAGTCCCGGTGGTGTCCATGACCCGAGCAATATGACTTTGGTGAAAGAAACAGTGGACAGACTTCTGAAAGGTTACGATATACGATTGAGACCCGATTTTGGAGGTAAATACATGTGCAATTATCTCATCCTTTGCCTTGTCAGTTTGTGTGGCAGTGTCGTGTTCATAAAGAAAAGTGGCAAAGACGCGCTTGCTACATCGGCTTATGCCCGTGTGCCATTTTTTACCCAGGTCGGGGTGACAAATCCAATCAAAACAATATGTAAATTGGACTTGCTGATAATACTGAAAGTGCTTTAAAGGGATCCGGCGCTTAAAAGCTCTTGACTCTTGTGAATTGGAAAGCCGGGACAAGTATGAGCTGCCTATGTGGGATCTTTCTTGTCAACAACTTTTTCGTTTTCTTTCTGAGCTTTTGAAGACGTGAATGAGCACGTTTCACTGCCACAGGGCTGACAAGCACACGTGAGACATACCAATGCCATATGTTATAATATTCTGTAGTCAATTAACGCTGTTTTAATTGGGTTAATTGTGTGTGCGTTTTTTTCTTTCTTTCTTTTTTCAAGGTGCTCCGGTTGGCGTAGGGATGAATATTGACATAGCCAGCATAGACATGGTATCTGAAGTCAACATGGTAAGTAGGCCATTCGCACAAAAGCTGTCCAATAATCCTGTGTCTCCCCAAACTAACGGGGAAACCCCTGCTTATGCAACTTATATAACTGCCTCTATTTTCACTCTCTCGCTCCTGTGTGGCTGGGGCTGCTCAAACGCTGCCACAATGGTTTTAGTTGAAGGCACTATTGTCTCTCGAGTCCCCCTTATTGATTGGCAGATGATGATTGATGCTTTGTTTTAGTCCTGCATACACCGAGATTCATCTGTTTGGCAAATACACAGCTTTACAGCCAATAGCTCTGGTAACACATGGGTGATTTTTAGCTGTACAATAAACACGGACTTGTGCATATAGTCTCCACTGGCCTACATTAGGTTTCAGAACACGTAATACCCATAACGACGTTTCTCATTAAAACGTGAGGTAATTAGACGTGGCTTGCACTGGGCTGTCATCATGCTCAACTTGTGCGCTGTGGATGTGGATCAAGTGCAAGTTTTGCTTCATACAAGTGCACCTCCTAGTGTCTGCAATAGGGACCTGCAGACTGGTGAAGGCAATCAGTGAAATGGGTTGTCAAAACAAGTCACTAGGTGTTACTAGTGGAAGTGCATTTGGGCTCGAGTGCTGATACAAATACACAAATAGAAGAAAGTAGGGTATTATTTTTGTATTTATTATAATTAATTTTGCTTTTTTTGGGTTTTTTTGGGGGTGATCAGAGTGTGCTGATATGATTCATGATGATGTTAGGGAATCATTATAGGAGTATATTTCTGGCAGCAGCACCTAAAGCTCATTTTTGCCAGCTTGGAGTTTGTGCCCAAGAGTGTAGATGAGACATAATGCTTTTTGGCAGGTGGTTTCACAGGATTTATAGATCACAAAAAAGCTTTTTTCACAGATGACTGATTAGGCAAAGAAATGTATTATCATAAAAGCTTCTCATAATTTTGCACTCAACCTTGATGTTACCTTGATAGTGCTGTTAATTTGTCAGAGTAGATCGATTGGAACGCTTTTAACCTTGTTTTAGAGAAGTTTCTATACAGTTTACTTAAAGGCAAATGAGCTTTGCATAAATGGGAATAATAGATGTTAGAGATAGATAGATAGATGGATGAATAGATAGAAAGATATAAATATGGTGGGATAGAATATTGTTTTTAGTTTGTTCCACCATTTAGACATACAATACTCTCATTCTTGTGTGTTTTTGTAAATTCATATAGTTTTTTTTTCATATGAGACATGAGATACATCACAACATGGCAATATTAAAATTTGCCATGTCTGGGTGGTAGTAGTTATACGCAGGAGTCAGAGTTGAATGGATAAAGATGACTCCAACAACTAACAAAACAGGAAAAAATAAAATAAAATCCCCTGTCAAAACTAAGAGACCGAAGCGGTGATCCCATGCACAAGCGTCCCTGCCCTGCACTTTAATTGGAGTTTTTTCTTTTTTTCCCCCAGACAAAACGAAACTTCTTGAGATATTGATTCTTCGTCCAAACAATATTGTTATGACCGAGGTCTCTGTGGCCTTAACCTCTTTGAGTCTTATCCCTTGAATATTCCCCATTTTGGTTCCAAGTCCCAAAACATGGAGGTCAGATTCTACCACCCCAAACATAAAATCACATAATGACAAAGATCAATCAGTATTATCGTATAACTTAACATAGAGGCAGTTCCCAGTGGCATATATTCAGCAAAGTAATGACATATCCCTAAGTTCAAACTTTTTATAGCTGAAGTGAACTTTTAACAAATCGTGTGTGGACTCTCGCTCGCACATACAAATGGGAAATGGAAGTACAAGAAAAAGAAAAAAAAAAACCTTTCTTGCCCTTCTGAAAACACACCCAGCGCCACGGCTTTCTTTCATCATGGCCAGTCCTTTGTCAGGAACAGCCTGTAATGCGGAGGGACAGTCATCACCACCTGACCCATCTGAAACTCACACATGCACGTAACGGTCACCCATCTTTGATCTCTCCTCTCGACTCCCTGTTCCCTCTTAAATGGGACCAGTGTGGAGGGGAGCAGCTGGGGTAACAAGCACTTTCATTTGTCCCATTTCCTCTCTCCCATCTGGCTCAGAGTCGGAACCGAACAACCCCTTGTGCTTTTTTTATTGTAACCCAGACATGTACCCGACTGTGCTCCATTAGCCGTTACTTTTGGCACATTTTGGACACATCTATGCTTTGATGCTTGTCATTGTATTTTTGTGATGTACAGCTGCAGTGCGACATTCCAGCAAAGGGAGGATGGTATTTCTGGTTACAGAGAATGAGCTTTAGGATGAGGGATGGACCATTAGAAAAAAAATAGTAACAAGCTAAATAGAGATTTGTCTGTCTTTGTGCACACTGTGTAAACACTGAGAAAAATCCTACTTTTGACATTCCGGGACATCACAGACTCATAATGTGCTTTGTTGATCTAAGAAATAGCTGGGAAAGAACGCTAAGTTCTTGTCTGTGGCTGTATCTGCCAATTTCTAAAGTTCGGAGAAGTGTGGAAGTTGTAAATGTTGACTGTGTATTTTATTGTTGGTCTGCATTGGGAAGTTATTGTTATGTTTTGATGTACCACAGTATGGCATTAAAAGATGATTCTCCGTTGGAAGTTATAATCACAAGGTTTTGCCGAGTGGACCAACAAAACAACAAAACAGAAAGACTTATGGACATTGGTCATCTACCCTTATGGACCAATTCCAATGTGTTTTCTATTTTGTTTGTTGTGTTTGAACTGTTTGATTCTCTGATCTGTGTTGATGAATTCAAAAGTCGTGTAAAGTCCTCCAAGATAAGTACTGTTGTGATTTAGGGCTATACAAGAATACATTGGATTGAATTGAATTGAAAACATGGCTCAGGGTATTCAGCTGTTGATCATACTTTATTTTATTGTATAGATTTGCTGATTTTATATAAATGTTTATCTCGTAGTTCTAACTAGAAACATGCCACCTGCATGTGAAAGCCAGATCCCGTCAGACCTGTGAAGCTAAGCAGAGCGTGGCCTAGTTAGTACTGTGATGGGAACACCAGGTGCCACCGTGGGGTGGCTGTTGTTGTGGGCTTAGACAAGACACTTCACCCACATGCCTAGAATGAGTCTGGTGTGTGAATGGTTGGTGGTGGTTGGAGGGGGCTGATGTCACATACTGGTCTCCTCGCTTCTATCAGTGTGCCCCAGGGCAGCTGAGGCTACAGTAGTATTTCAGCACCACAGTGTGTGAATAATCTAATGAGAAATGTCTTTGAGTGTCTCTAAAAGGCACTTTTAAAAACCTGTGCTTTAATATTATTTACATTAAGAACCATTGCCGCACCAAGGCCGCAGTTTGTGTTAATGTACATTTCAATGTTAAGTGTCTTTGAAATAACAAAGTGAAATGATGATCATTTTCTCTTTTCTAGGCAGATTTTTAAAAAGCCACACATATTTTTTGTGCAATTAAAACCAAGTTTGACCCTTTTTGAGCAAATCCTTTCAATCTTACAGCCAACAACTAAACGTGTTGAAGCTTGTAACTGGAATAATATTTTTCAAACTGAGACATTTTGCAAATTAACTCAATAAAAACAAACAAAACAAGGAAACATGTTGCGCCACCTTCACAACAGATTGAAAGCCTGGCATACATCATGACAGCCTTAACTATTGATTATTATTATTATCAAATTCAGTATTATCTTATTTTTGGACAGTGTCAATCCAAACATATCAAGTTATAGATGAGATTCGTGGCATACAGTACATCCCAGTTCACAGAATGAAGCCGTATTTGTTTTTCTTCTGATACATTTTTAATACAACTTCCAAGTAGACAAAACATTCACTGTGATTTAGTTTCATTTTTTCCTCCATCTTTAGTGGAATTTGCTCAACACAATGTTCTCCCAACATGTGTCACCGCTGTCCTATGTTTTCAAATGAGTGGCGCTTCCACCATATAGGATTCCTCCCCCGGGCGCTGACCAGTGTAGATTACATGGCCACGAAAGGTCAGTGCTCCTGGACGCGGAAGCCAAATGTCCCGCGCCCTGACGCCTGAATGGAGATGGGATATGATGGGAGAAAACCTGGGGTCATGTGCTGCTCAACAGCTTATGTGACAATGGGAGAAAGGAGGCGTTCGCATAGATGGGGAGAGAGAGAGAGAGAGAGAGAGAGAGAGAGAGAGAGAGAGAGAGAGAGAGAGAGAGAGAGAGAGAGAGAGGCGACATCAGCTTTATTACTTTCACTTCACTTCTTTTCATGTCCCCCAATTTCGTTCACAGCACAGGGACACGTAAAAAACATAACTAAAGCAAATTTTCCATACATTCAGACAACAAGGTGCCCACATATAGTCTTCCAGTAAGGTCAATGGCAGTTATAAATAACAGGAAGAAAAAAAAAGAAGACAAAAACTGTTCCTCTCAAGCAAAAATTCGACCCCTATTTTCTCTGTCTATGGTCCGAGTTTAGTGTAGAAACAGCTGCAGGTACAAAAGAGTGTTTATATCTATTACTCTGAACCATTGGGGTTCTGAGTCTGCAACCAGACGACAGGTAACTAAACTCTTCATGAAGAGGATGAGCCTCATTACCCATAATCCTCAGAGCCTTCCTTGTCACCTGACCAGTGAACAGTTCAGAAAGTGGAGTCTGAGGAGCTCCCAAAATCTTAGGTTTACTATTCTGCTGAGTGACTTTTTCCCTTTGACATTGAGGTTACCAAACCAACACATGGAAAATTTTGAAACTGACATTCTAGAATTACATGAGCAGAACAACGGCAGATGACGAGCCGGCTTGTGTTTGGGAGAGGCTTGTGTTGTGCGGCTTTGAGGATCCTCTCTGGGTGAGTCACAGGTGGAACAATATGAAGCTTCCTGAATGGAAATGGCACTTTAAAAGCTCAAAGCAAGAGCCACTCAAATAAGAAAAAACAAAACAACTCAAAAAAGTACAGGAACAAACACTGCTGTATTTTGAAAACAATATTCTTG